GTTAAATACAGAAATGGCACACATAACTGAGACTGCGCCTTTTAGTACGGTGCGCCTTATGGTCATGAAAATACGGTAGTTTATTTCCAGATGGACTGAAAATATTTAATCCTTGAATTACCGATGAGATTCTCATAATTTGTGGAGATAGAAATAGGGAGGGGGTAAAAAATTACGCATATCTTTCAAAAAATAATATCAAAGACTGATTTTTTAAAAATCAAATACATTCATTAAGATACTGTATATATAGGTCACCTTAAATCTCTCTATTTTTTTTCACCATCCACTGTATATATCTGGATGCACTGTACATACTTCATGCACCTTTTCCTCCTTTGTGCATCTCCTCTTTGCTTATAAGAGTCGATGTCACAAGTGAATTTTTCCATTGTGAAATGAATAAAGTTGTATTTTATTCTTTCTAAAGATATCTACAACAACTAAGCAATAACACTGAACTGTTTTTTTCCATTGTGCATGTCACTTTTCTCATGTACTGCTGTGTTTGCTATGCTCATTCCAGACTGAGCTAAATGTTTTCTGTGGGGTTATAAAGGGGTTCTTTATTTATTTCACTCGTTTTTTACTAAATAAACTTAGCATGGAGATGCTCCAAACACAATTTTGTTATTCTTCTGTGACAATGATGATACATATTTGAATCTTGATTCTGATTTCCTGAAATAAATTGGATGTTTAAATCCTTATGAATTTGAAAAAAAAAAAAAACAGGAACAAGTTTCTAAAAGTTTTAAAAACCAGATTTTATTCAGGATCTCTTTGACAGAGCTTGTTGTAAATTAATTAAAATCAAAAAATTTTATTAAAAGTGAATTTAAGTGCAGCTAAGATCAGTGAGCTGATGTATGAATACCTAATTAGTATGGGATTGCAGAGAAAGCAAACAGTCTTGTTTTTTGATGAAAAGTGCTCAATTTTCAATATTTTGCTTTTGAAGATTTTAATTCATTGATAATAAAATGTCCCCCTAATTAAAAATGACAAGTCCTCATCCACCTGTGCTGGTGGTCCACCTTTGAAACATTCTTGACTCAAAGTTGGTTTCAGAGAAGGTTTCACTGCTGTAAATCGGTGTAACAGCAGCTGGAATCTAATTTAGTAAATGTTTTCACCACTAGATGTAGCAGTGAAACTGTTACTGCCATAGATAACATTAATTTAAATAAAAGTTATCTTAATATTGTATGGTTGAGTGAAATTATGACGCTAAAATTTAGCAGTTTGGTTTAAGAACACTTGGATGTATGCCGTGATGCAAATGGACACATATTTAGTGCCAATTAAGAACAATTGAGACAGAAAATGATAGTTTTAAAGCTGACAGGTTTGTCCGCTAATGGATCAGAGTCGTGTGTTTATTATGTTTTGTAAATTTAATATTTTGTTTAGGTTGAAGCAAGTGAAAGTTCTGTTCATCCTGTTCTACAGTTTCTAAGTTCTACAGTCCTCCAGACAACCGCTGGAGCCTTTTTAAGTCTACAATTGAAATGCAAAAATATGGAGAGAAATTTTTATCAATAATGCAAAGCAAGCATGTTTCAAATCAGGGAATTTTAAGAAAATTAATTTCAAAAGGGTTTGATAGTTGTGTTCAAAAGTTCAACCAAAAGTTCACCAATATTTGTACAGTCTGTTTTTTTCCATTCATATTTTGTCTTTCAAATTTGAATTTGATCACATTTTTTTATGTGTTCATCTAAATGCTGATGTGTTTAGTTATTAGTTTATTTTTTCGTCTGTTAAATTGACTTCAGTAACTTTTTGAAAAGAGAAAGTAGTTTGTTAGCAGTTTTACCCTTATTGTACATAAGCTTGTTTTATTAAGTGAAGTTACTCGTAGTTGATGAAGAAGCCAGACATTTTACTACAGTAAGATCAGTGAAACTTTATATTTTTACTCATGTAAAAGTAAA